TCTAATCCCAGCATAGGCTCCAGTCGCTTAAGCTGCCTGCAGCTTCCATCCGGGCTCTTACAGACATTTAACTGCTCGGATGCGTTTATGGCTGAGAGATTGCGCCGCCCTCACAAGTAGCGGTCGGCTTTGTAGCAGAAGTGCAACTATGCCAACTCAATCACCACCCCTATGTCTCAAGAGAACGGTGCCGATTCGGCATACGACCTGTTCGTTTGGGATAGCGGCACGGATGTACAGGATCCATCTTTGTTTATGTTCTGCAGGTAGTACAGTATCTATGCACCTGCACTGCACAGTAAAGTTGGATTGGATTTTGTGTCGTGGCTTGTACCGGATGTTTGACAAATGGCGTACAGCTCTGGCCTGAGCTTTGTTCACGGTCACGTGCGCCCGCTGTGCCTCGCTCTTCTTTTTCCTCCTTTTCTCCGTGTAGTCTATTCCCTAAGCCCTAAACCCGAAACCCTAAACCCTAAACCCCTAAACCTAAACCGCCTAAACCCCCCTTAATTCAGGAGAACTTGGGCTCTTGGGTTTGAAGTTTCCGGCTTCCGGTGGATTTCGGGAAGAGCAGCGACTGCCCGGGGGTGCTAAAGCCCAGCTTCCTAAAGCCCTAAGCCAAGGGTTTAGGGTTTAGGGCCATAGATCAGGCCTTAAATGTCTGTGCAGAAGCTGTATCCAATTTCGCTCGAGAGCATCAGGGCACCAGAGCAGAATTGGCTGGGAGGGTGGAAGTGGAAGTCAGGAGAAGGGTCATCTCATGTAACCCCGCCTGAAGCTTCAGGCTCCCAGCATCTACTCCTCAACCGCTCTTAAAAGCCACAGGCGCCAACAGCTGACAGAAGATTCTGTGCATGGTATTTGGTTTGGAGACCTTCGGTCTTTTTGCCCCTTGGTCCCCGCAGCTCTGAGTTCCTGGCCTCAGCCGGGTGCGGTTGCAATGTCGAAGTGCGCCCTCTTCGCAGATCAGTACTCCGAGCTGAAAAGATTTGCCAGGAGCTTCCAGCATCTGAACCGTGTGGTGCCCGCGAGGCAGCATCGCGTCGCATTGCAAATGGGCAGCGGGCAGCCGCTGCTACACTTGCAGAGGTGCCGACCAGTCGGACTGCTGCTCATGCTCATGCAGATTCATTTTCGAGTACATCGTGTTGCCGACTCCGTTGTCAAGGAGCAGCTGGAGCAGTGGAAGTGGTGTCGGCAGGGTTGGGAAGAGTGGTGCCAGGTCGTCTGCGACCCGGAACAGCCGCCTCCTAGACCACCAGAGGGCGCAGAAAGCGGCAACGTGTCCTTCAACTCTTTGGGCCCTCTCCCCTGGGATCCACCCTTCTTGAATCATAGGGAGTTTCTGGCTCTGGAGAAGGAGCTCTTGGGGGCCATCGACGGCCACCTCCGCATCTCAAAGAGCGGGAGCTTGCTACCGAAGGCCACGGAGGTGAGGTGTGGGGAGCCCTGCAGTCTTTTCAACAAGGAGCGGAAGGTCTACTCTCAGTACGGCCTGGATGGAATCTTGGAGCAGACCTTCAGATGTGTTGGTGTCACAACAAAGGCTTTTGTGGAGATTGGAACACAGTACGGTGTGCAATGCAGTACCCGCTTTCTTCGTGTTGCCCATGGCTTCCTCGGGTACATGTTCGACGACAGCAACTCCGATGAGAGAATCGGCTTGCAGAAGGTCTTCATGAAGCCTACTTTCGCAGCCTCGCTGGTGAACTCGACGGTGCGAGCAGGTTCTGCTCGCCGAGGTATTCCTGGGATAGCGCCCTCGCGGTTGGATCTTCTGAGCATGGATACCGATGGCATGGATTTCGCGCTCTGGCGGTCCATGTGCCCCAGCATTCGGCCTCGGGTTCTGACGCTGGAGGCCGAGTGGGTTGGGAAAGCGCCTTGGCACGAGAAGGCGGCCTCCATCATTACCGGGAAGATCCATCGCTTGGCACGTGCCTGTGGCTACGTGCTGGTCTACGTCGTCCTGCATGACATGGTCTTCGTGAGAAGGGACGTCTTCGAGCAAAGCCACTCCTGTCGGCCCTGGGACACAAGCGCCGGAGACCTCAACTTCTTCTTGGCCCGCGAAAAGCGCCGAGGGCAGCTTGCCAGCGAACGAGAACATGCTGGAGGACGGGAGCTAAGCCTCTGGCGCTACAACGGTTGCATCATGTAGCGGCATGGGAGCCAAGAACACCCCTCTGAGCAGAGAAAACACGCCGCTGCACTGTCAAAGAGTCGCGGGGAGATGTCCAGCAACGGAAGTTGGCCCTTCTGATGGATCCAGAGAGGGCAGCGCACCCGGCTCGGCCGGAGGACAGATATCTACCGCGCAGGGACGGCTGACATGGCCCCATGTGGTGGTCCTTGAGACAAATGGGGGTCCTCGTGCGCCTCGACACATACCTCGGGCGAAAGACAGCAGCTGCAGAAGAAGCCCAGCTGCAACAAGCACGATTACGATGCAGCACCAGCTCCTGCGCTACTTGAAGGAGGATAAGTCCGCATGCATTTATCTTGTCTCTGCCACTTGCAACTCCATCGCTCCGGCACTGAAAAATCCCATGAATATCCTTTTGCGGACGACATCGTCTACGTCAGGAGCCACGAACCTTTGCTCTAGCTGTGACGGATATTGGTGTCATTGTCTGTCATTTTATCATTCGGAATATAGTTAGTGTCGTCATTATTTCTGCTATTGCTATTGCTATATTGCTAGGTGGCCATTTTATCTTACTGTACTGCTATATTGCTATACTGCTAGTGCACCTGCTCCAGCTGCTGAAAAGCTTCGACGACGACGACGACGAGGACGGAGAGTAGTATCAACATCAATATCAGCATCATCATCGTCATCACAGCCAGCCTCCGCACAGCAACCACGGTTCGCCATGCTACGGCCCCAGACTCCATAAGCCCTTTGAGCCTCGGGAGCCAACCTCCCCAGCTTCACCCGCAGCAGATTCAGCTCCTACAGTATCATGGCCAGCAGAGCATCATAATAGCCCAATCACCATGAAGGCGCACATGCGGTAAGATTGTCACTGTTGCTACATGCAGCTCGAACGGCATCCATATCGAAGGATCCCATCGCTATCCATTGTCTTGCGATGCGCTCTGCTTTAGAAACTTCGAAGATCTGTCGCCATGATTGCTGTCACCACAACCACAACGGGCTATTCACACCAGCACCATCATCATCATCATCATCGACAACATCTTCGTCGCATCAATGTCCGCATCAGCATTACTATCAGCTTCATCTTAATTCTCCTCTTCATCTGCCTCGTCATATTCGTCGCTACAGCCGCTCGCACCGCCAGCATGATAATCACCACGACGATGCTTGTTCTTGGTTGGAGCATAGCAGCCCGACGCCCTGCTTCCGATGTCTCAACTGTCAGACTCGACTCGACAGGCTCCGAAGCCTGAAATGAAAAAAAGCAGAGCGCATCTCTCCTGACCCGCCCCTCCCAGGCTCCTGAGCCGAAGCCAACCCGAAGACCCGAACTCCGAAAGCAGCCGGGGACTTCTCAAGCTCCTAAATCGCCCCTGAAAGTCCCTAAATAGCCCCCCCCCCCTAATCCGCTAAAGCCTACCCCTTACCCCTAAGTTCGAAGGCCCTTCACCTTAATTTTGCTCTGCGTTTGGCTCTCTCAAAGAGCCGGGGAATCCGTGCCCCGGCGAACCCCAACGAAGAGTTGCGGGCCAGAGGCATATCGCAAAGCCATAGTTTTGCCGTGAAGGACAGTCTAGTATGTGGTGTCTGATGCTTTGTAATTATGTCAGATAAATATATGTATATATATATACACACACATATTATGACATATCGTATTTTCTTAACTGACCAGTTTAGAGATTGATAGATAGACAGCAAGGTAGGTAGATGGGTGGCGGGTGGGTGGGTAGGTAGGTAGGTAGATGGATAGATAGGAACGAAGATAGACAGAAAGATGGATAGATAGATAGAGAGGGGTTTAAAATTTCATTGATACGGCTTTGAAGGAAGTTTGGGCTTCTGCTTGGATGGGTTTACGGTTGACTGTGTGTTTCAAGGGGGCTTAAGTTCTGTACGGTGCTGCTTGTAGGCTTTAAGCAGGGCTACGTTCGGACACGAAGCCATGCATAATCGACTTTCTAGCTCCCTTTTACACTCAAAAAGGAGTTTCGGGGTTCAGACAGTATGACTATAGTGGATCGTGCTACTGGTTGTGCTTTCTTTCGTATCTTCTGCTTCCCTGAGCACCGCACCGACCACAACAGCACACAGCCTGCCAGTGGTCAGAGTAGAAGCCGGAGTAGTCAGAGTAAACACCTTAAATCCTAAGCTACCAAGTTTAATCCCTTATGCGCATACACCCGGAACCCCACACCCTAGAGGGCGGCTTCCAGTGGCAGGGTGTCTTCAGGCTGGGGGTCTGCGAGATTCGGGTCAAAGATTCAAGTTCTAGGGCCTAGGGACCTGGAGCATAGAATCCTGGATTATGAGTACATCTTTTTTCGGGTTCCTTGAATAATTTCTGCGATGGCATGCCCCAAAGCCCTATTCTACTGATCAAGGCCGCCGTACTAGGGATTTCAGAGTTTAGGGCTCAGGAGCCAAGGATTTGGAGGGCTTAGAACAAGCGTAAAATAGGGGACATGGTAACTTGTGATAGCAGCCCCGTGTGCTAGTCATGTGCCCCCACACCCTTGTGAGAAAGTGTCAGGCCCCAATCGTAAGCCCTCAGCCTTACAAAGACCAACCTTATAATATGTGGGGTCTCGCGCAGATTGAACATTGATGCAGCCGACGTAGTCCTTGCATCATGAGGGCTTATGTTTAGGGTTTAGGGTTTAGGGTTATGGTTTCAATTTTTATGGGTTCAGGTACCCTACGGGCTTAGGAGAAAGGTCGGAGGAGTGTCGATCCTGCCTCGAGGCCGGCTTGCTGGCATGGTGCCGCTACTTGTTCTCTTGGCTTGGAGCTTAATTACTATATCTATATATATATACACACACACTATATATGTAGTATATATGTAGTTTATAGATAGATAGATAGATAGATAGATTGTAGAAATCCTGCATGTGCTCCGA